CTGAATACATAATTTTTTATTTTCAGAGAAAATTCATTCCTAATAACATATGTTGATTGTCAAAAAGTAACATTCTTATAGTAAAATTTGTGATTTTAACTACAGGGTGTTTATTTTATTATTATTATATGTTTAGTTTTAAAAATAATATATTATATATATAAGCGCGTTGTGTTTTTTTGTTTAGACATATTAAAAACATTTTTTTCACTTAATAAAAGTTTTATTTTTATATATGTTTAAGTTATACACAATAACCATTATATACATACAGGGTGTTAAAAATAAATGGTAAAAAATCAAGGGGGTAGAAGACGAGCTGAGACAAGCATTTTTTGTCTTAGGGACATTTCCAAAAACGTCCCCCTACTGAGCTACAGGCGTCAAAAACTGCGGGCACCGTTTGAATTTTGCGCGCTGAACCGCCGTATGTAACATTGGTTATAATTGAACCGGTGAGAATAAGAACAGTACAAGTCCAAAAATTTTATTTTGACAACTCAATTTTTAAAATCAATTTAAAAGTTCAAAAGGAATTTTGTTTAGGTATCTGTCACTTTTAGTATAATTATAACCCTATAGGGTTAGGTATGTCAGATTGTCAAAGACATGTCTTTGACAATCTGACAGATACCAGAGTAGAATTTAGGTCCGCGCGCCAAATTCAAAAGGTGCGCGCAGTTTTTGACGCATATAGTATGGTAGGGGGTAGTTTCTGGATACATGTCCCCAAAAATACTTGTCTCGGCGTGGCCTACCACAACCTTGAATTTTTAGCATTTATTTCATAACCCTGTATAATTATATATAATTATATGTGGACCAAAATTCATGTATGGTCATACATGGGCAAACTTCATACATGTTCATATATAATGAATTTATATATTATTATATATGATCATATATAATTATATATGATCACACGTGGACCAAAATTCATGTATGGTCATACATGGGCAAAATTCATACATGATCATATATAATGAAATTATATATAATTATAAATTATTATATATAATTTTTTTTTCCCGGGCTATAGGTATTAGGGTGGTCCTTAGCTATAGCTATAGGTATTAGGGTGGTCCTTAGCTATATATATAGAGGTAAAAGATATACTTTTAATATTGAATTGTCCCACCCCCCCATTTTGTTATAACACAAGAGAAAAAAAAGTACACAAAAATTTGAATGGCCAACTCAACCCCTTCACGTGCCTGTGAGGGGTTGAATTTTGACAAAATCCCCAATTTTTAAGGTTTTTGCCATTTACTCCGCAAAAATCGCATATCTCAAAAAATTTTACTCATTAAAATCTTTTCGTCTATTAAAGGTCTATAAAAATTGTCTCTTGAGATTTTATCCTAGAAAGCACCATTTCGTGGAAAATTGCATTTGTGCATAATTACCACAAATTTAAGGTTTCAGTAAGGGGCTGTACTTAAATTACGTAACGTTTTTAAAACGACATTTTTACCCCTCCCCCCCTATGTAACAGATCGTAACAAATTATTATATATAGTTTTTTTGCACTCCTGCACTACCAGGAAGCCCCGCCTGCTTATGCGAAATTCGGGTTCCTCGAATTGAAATTTATTAATTTCAAGAATTCTTCGAAATAACAATTTTTTGGACTTGTTTAATAATGTTTTTACTATATACTTACTTTTATCTATGGTAAACTAAATTTTATTATAAAAAAACGCTTAAAATAAATATGAAATAATATTAAATTTTTACGTTAAAATATAAAATTTTTGGAGTTTTTGGGTGCGTCCCGGTTTTTATTTAATTATTAATTTACAGAGGATTTAACTAAATATCAGTAAAAGAATTGGTTCCGGATTTGTCCGGATTACCGTGTTAAGCTGTTTTTAAGATAGGCACGTACAATGTGAAACACTACGGTTAAGGGAGGTATTCCTCCCTTAACCGTAGTGCTTATTCTTTTCTCAAAAACTCCTGAAATAACAACATTTATAGGGAACAACATTTATAGGGAACAAAAAATCATGAAATAATACCTATAATTTTTTTAAATATTATATTTTCACTTATACAGGGTATTCAGTTTTTTAAATGGCATAAGATGCTATAATATAGTATGTTATACGATTTTAAACAGTTATAACTCGAAAAATTATTTTGGCCAACTTTTTAGTACTAATACCCCTATTTGCGACGTCAGAAATACTACTGCGCACAGAGTGCTACTGCGGGAATTCACTGCGTAGTCAGGTGCATAGAGTAGTAGGATAGAGTACCTACCCCACCTATTTTATTTGTATTCCTAAGCGCCACAGACCATTTTAAATCTTAAAATTTACCCAAGATGCATTATTTTGCTAAATCAAATGACTAATAAGATATTTTTGAAAAACAAGCGAAAGTTACTTCAATGTAAAATTTGTGTTATTTGTGCATTTATGCAGTTTTCTACGAAACGGTGCATTTTAAGGCGGCTGCACAATTACACGGGAACGCTAACGAAAACGAGAACGGAAACTAAAACGAAAACGAGAAGATTCACAAGATTCACAATTAACATAATTATTTTAATTCTTTGGTTAATATATTTTGGGGATATTTAATTTATTTGGTATTTATAATAGAAATATACGTACGATCATACTGCAGATGTTCAGCTATTAAAAGCTAACTATTTTTCTTTAATAATTAATCTTTATACTCTTTTAACAGGCGATCGTACAGATGTGGGAACTTTTTTACTAATAAAATAATTAATTCGTCGTTCATTTTCATTAATTTATTAACACAGAACGTATTGATAAAACAAATAGCGCGAATGTCAGAAATAATTTGACAGATTAAACTGATTTTCTATTGGTTTCGATAATGCTGCGTTTCTATTGGCTACCGGGAACGAGAAACTTAAAACTTTACCAACTTTCTCGTTTCCGTTCGCGGGATGTTTCTCGTTCTCGTTACCGAAAATTTGTTGTGCATGTGTACATTGACTTATGTGCGTTTAATTTTTTTCTCGTTACCGTTCTCATTTTCGTTTCCGTTCCCGAGTAATTGTGCAGCCGCCTTTAGGATTATATAATAAGGTACCATTTTATAGACCTTTAGTAGACGAACAAATTTTATTCTGTAAATTTTTTTGAATTGGGCGATTTTTAAAAAGTTATTGCCAAAAACACTAAAAATTGAAGGATTTTGTCGAAATTTAATCCTTTACAGGCACGGGAAGGGGTTGAGTTAACGATCCAAAATTTTGTGTGATTTTTTTTCTCTTGTACTATTACAAAATTTGGGGGTGGGACGATCGAATTTCAAAAGTTCAAAAATAAGGACCACCCTAATAGGTATACATAGTAGGTTCGGGTATTCCCGTACGCCATTATGATAGTCCTAAAGACTATATTTGCGGCTACTGTCCAGGTTTGCAGCACTGAATATTTACTATAGACCACATTTTTTATTTTGTTTTAATTTGTTGTATGTTATTATTTATGTTTGTATACCAAATATATTGAATTTGTTACCTTTTTTAATCTAGTTTATGCATGTACGGTAATACCCGCAATGGAGGGTAATGCCGAACATAAACCGTTTTTTGAAAAATACATTTTTGCATTTCTGGCTTAATATCAAGGTATTTGTTTCCACCGGATATCACTACAGTGAACCTTAGGCTACGCCCACAACAAATTTTGAAGCTATATCTTCCCAGGTGTATCTGTAATTAATTTTAATGCTTAGGTGTACGTCAATACCCGCCGTTCCCCTACACGATAGAACAACCCGTTCTGATTGTTAAACACTATTATTAAAATGATGAAAGTTTCATTGCCACGATTCGTAAAGGGCGTCCAATATTTTTTCGAAATAATGTTCCTAATTCATCTACTGTGAAAAAAATAATCGAAAAATTTGAAAGCACTGCTTCTGTTAGTGATGTGAAACACACGACCCGAGCTCTTTCAGAACAAAATATCGCAGCAGTGTGGCAGAGTGTGGCCGAGAGTCCAGAGACGTCGATTTGGCATCGTGCACAAGAATTGGACATTACAAAAGCCACTCTTCAGCAAATTCTTACTTAAGATTTGCATCTTCATGCCTACAAAGTCCAATTGACTCAACAACTCCAGCCAAAAGACCATGAACAGCGAAGAGAGTTTACCAATTGGATCCTTGAGCAGCAAGAAATGAATGCCGATTTTGCGGAAAAAATCATTTTCAGTGATGAGGCCCATTTTCACCAATATTTAACACCCTTGGACTTTTGGCTGTGGGGTTATTTGAAGTCACAAGCTTATGCCAACAAGCCCGCCACCATCGAAGCCTTAAAAGCAGAAATTAGACGCTCTATCAACGAAATACTGCCACATGTATTCAATAATGGTATTGCAAATTTTGCCAAAAGAATACGCTTGTGCCAGTTAAGCCGTGGTGGCCATTTACCAGATGTGTTATTTTATACATAATTTCCAAATGTGTACTTTATAAATCAATAAATATTTCAATGCTTTAATACTTAAAATCATGTTTTAATAAACTTTTAAATCTTGCGCTCTTATTGATACACCCTTTATAATCTCCCTTGCTGCCTTGAGTTCACGGTTTATTCACGTGAATTCACCGTGAATTCACTGTGAATTCACCGTGAATAAACCGTCTGTGAAAAGTGCGTGAATTCACCGTCTAACTACCGTTTACAAATGTCACAAACAGACGGTTTATTCACGGTGAATTCACGGTGAATTCACGGTGAATAAACCGTGAACTCAAGGCCGCAAAGGGATATTATTACTATTCGTTTATTGAGAATATGGAGGATGATACAACACTATTTATTTTTTGCAATATATTATATATATATATATATATAAAACCTATAGGTTTTTATTAAGAACATTCTAACCTATAGGTTTTTATTAAGAACATTCTAAATCTTTAACCGATTTCAAACTTTACATTGGAAATGTCTTCATAGACTTGAACTTATAATTATTTATAATTTATTTTATTTTTAGACGAGATGGCAAAGTTTACTGACGATCTTTTAAAAGAGAAAATATTCCACTGCCAGATTTGCGATGAACTTTGCACGTCCGATATTTTCCTGGTCAAAGATAAAGGAAACGTGTGTGCGAACTGTTTTGAAGAAAAGTGCGGGGAGGAAATGAAATCAAGGGCTGAACTAAACACGGCGCTCATCTTAATTCTAGCCAAGCTGATGTTACCAACATATCTAGAGTGCGTGGGCTGCGAGGAGAGGTTGAAGTCGAAAAAGTATTCTAAGCACATTGCTACTTGCGATTTTAAGATTAAACCGTGCCCGATGAAAAATCTTGAAGGTTGTGATTGGAGTGGGAGTGACTTTGAAGTTAGCGAGCATTATTGAAAAATCATCAAAATCACGTTATTAAAAGTGGAAACAATATTTTTAAAGTTGAAACGTCCTTGTCAGAACCTTTCAACGTAAAATTGTTTTCTGATGATAACCAAAACTGCCTTTTAAAGACTTCAGTTGTTGATAACAAATTTTATTACTCCTTAAATACAGTTGAAAAATCAGAAGAAAATATGGAGTATACAGTGGTGCACAAAAGTACTCAAGAACAAAACAATAAAGAGTTGAAAACCGTAGGTACTCTTACCAAACTGAACGGTTATTATGATGAACAAAATCTGGATAACAACCCCAACGCGACTGAGGTAGACATCGACCTGTTGAAACATCTTGCAGATGAAAATAATATGCTTTTGAACGAATTTAATTTAAATCCTAAAGGAATAGATGAGAATATGCTGAAATTATTGGAATGTCCCGTATGCATGGACGTAATGAGACCTCCAATATACCTGTGCAATAGTGGACATGGCATTTGCATCGTATGTCGTGGAAAAGTCAGTGAATGTCCTACATGCAAGGATAAATGGACCAATGTTAGAAACTTCTTTATGGAACATTTTACAACCAATGTAAAATATCCCTGCAGGTTTAAAAAATCTGGGGGCAATCACAGTTGAAGTTGATATCAAGGAACACCCTGGCGAAAAATGAAATGTGCAAAATTATCTGCCAACAATGTGCAATAATTTAAAAAAATAATGTGTGGAGGGTGGGAAATGGAACATGAAACAATGTGCAAAACCAAAAATTTAAAAGTGTGAATAATCACTGGACAATGTTCTAAAGGGAACTCCTTTTGATTTTTCACATTGTTTGCACACTGTTTCTTGCCACCTGTGTGCCTATTACAAAAACAGATTCTTTCTGGTGACCTATAAAGTCTTTTAAATTTACACATAATTGAAATATAAATATCCTTATAATAATATTAATCAAATAAATATTTTTTTCAAAAAATTTAAAAAAAAAATACCCACAATGTAGGTCCTACATACTGACAGTATGATACTGTATTTTATAAAGAAAAATACCTGCACTGTCAACTCCACGAAGGGGATTGCTTTGATCTTAGCAATAGGCTAAGACGCGATACATAAGATGGAATCTACCTCACCTTTTAAATAAATGTTGTACCCCAACACAAGCGAGATATATCTAAAATGTGCTTAAACTGTTAAGTGATCGTTAAAACTGTACAAACAATGTGCTATAAAAAGGTGTAATATAAGCGTCATAAATGAGAAATATTACAGCGTGGTAACAGTGTGTATAAAATGTGACATGCGTAAGATAGGCTGAAGCTTTGCAAAATGTCTTTAAACAATGTACTAACACTGTGCAAACAATGTGCTAAAATATAATGTAATATAAGCGTGACATATGACAAATAAAAAGCGTGATGTCAATGTACATAAAGAGTGAAAAAAGTTAATTATTTCAAAAAGGGTGAAATTACCACAAAGTAGCGTGTATGCACATTGTTATAAAGACTTGCACTCCAAATACACACTTATTGCACACTTTTCATGCACGCTTTATTTTCGCCAGGGCATGAAGACATCTAAATATAATAGGTAGATATAATAAACATAACATTATACATGACATTGTTTAGGGTTTTTATATAATAATTAATTTTTCTGATATATGTATGTATTTTCATTTCCAATTAACGTCGGTGTCCACTTTTTAATCTTTGTTTTCCTAAAAAAATACGGTGTGTGAAAAATAAAAATTGTGTGTACCTATGACAATTAACAAATAAAAGAAATTTCTCGGAACCTGAAATTTTTTTGAAAAAACCTTGAGACGTAAAGTTTTATATTGGTAAAACTTGGTCTGATTATTTTTGAGATATTTTAGAAAAACCATGCAATATGCTTTTAAAACTTCCCACCTTAAATTTCTTGAAAACTGGAAGAATTTGGAAAAAAGGCGGACACACAAAGTTTTATATCGAGGGGGATATTTTTTGGCGCTATAGTATACTGCTACTTTAACCTCCTTGAGTTCTGCAACCCCTAACTCAAAAATTCTAAATTGCAAAAGGTATCATGGCACATCATTTTAAAGCTCTTTTAATTTGCAATACAACTGTGTAGTTTTGTAATTTACCGATTGGTTGTAAAGAAAAAAAACAATTTTTATTATTAATTAATTCAGCATGCATCAAAATGGGTATGTAATTAAATAATTATAATAAAATACAAATTATTTTAATTTTTTTATTTTAATGTTTTAATCCGGTCACTTATGTATTTATTAAATTTTTTTGTCGCAGCGCGTATTTCGAGTTCTTCTTTTATTTTGCTTTTTTCTCCTCTAATGAAATGCTTTTGTTGTTTTCAACTTCCCATGTTATTTTTGCAAACAAGGTTTCGGAAATTCAATTTTTACAATATTAATAGATATTGAATATTATTAAAAATTTTATACATTCCTTTTTATCAAAATATATCATTTTAAATACCCTGTGGGCCATATATGAATAAAGTTGAAGCAAAGTTTGAAGAAGTTTGTCTAGTTAATGAACTAATCAGCTATATGCTTGTTTTATAGTGTATTTCATTTATGTAACATTTTCTTACCTTTGAGGGCTGCTACTTTTTTAGCATCTAATGCTTTAGGTGCTGGAGGGGGATCGGAACCATCCTTCTTTGCCTTTTTTAAAAGAGTTGGCCCAACTCGTCCACTTATTGTAGCGCCATGCAATTCTTCTAGAGTGAAGAACTTTAATAACATTATTTTAACAAATTGCGAGTCCCCATTCTTTCCAAATCGCTGTTTGTAAAAAATTTTTAGTTCTTCACTAGAAATGTTGGGGTAAAGCTGTACCATATGGTACAGATATCTAAAAAAGAACCAAAGAGAATTAATTTCATGTATCAGAATGATATATATTTTTTTAAATATTTAATATTGAAAATTTATTATAGTTTAAGGAAATAAAAATAATTATTAAATTTTAAAATAAGCATAGAAGCAACAATTGTTCAATTGACGTGGCCTTAAGGCCACGTCAAAGGACCTCTAAAATCTCTCGTGTTCATGTAAACTCTTTAGAAAAAAACCTTAATACGTCGGTCTAACCCAACCTATTCCTTGTCTATGTCTATAGAGGTAGATATAATTTTAAAAGTTGGTAGTTTCCAGCAAATCTTACTTTGAAAAGTTAGTACCACCTATATTTTTCGAGTATTCCAGAGACTCCAAAGTAAGAAATCTGGCACTTGGAATTTACTTTTTGATGGGTACAAAATATTTTAAGTATTTTTATAAAAAAACAATAATAAAGCCGAATAGAAAAGTCAAAAATTAAAGAACGAATTATGATAATTATCGTGCCTATATGCACTTGGGTTGTATACTATATCGTAATTTAATAATTTAAGATTATAAATATTTAATTAATTAATTTGAGCATACAATCCAACTGTATGCATTATTTGATAATTATCATAATTCGTTCTTTATTTTTTGACTTTTTTCTATTCCAATTTCAAATTTGTACCCTTTTGCTTCTAATCCCTTTAATTAAAAATATATTTATAATTAAAGGGATTAGAAGCAAAAGGGTACAAATTTAAAAATGGAAAAAAGGTAAAAATATAATCTATTTTTTAAAAGAATACATATTTTGATTGAATAATTTATAATATTTTTCAGTAGGTGTAGGTTGCTCCGCACTTTTGTTGATAAATGTAATAGATAATAGAGGTCGGTTCAGTAACGCGCTATATACCTACTCTATGAAATTTGGTAAATGTTCAAAGATGGAAAAAGTATAAAAAACACAACGCATTATTACCTCTTTTAAGAAGATTTAATTTAAAAAAATTAAAAACTTTAAAAGTTGGTAGATTTTTCTTGAAAAGTAGTAGACTTAAGCAAGACACTAAAAGTTGGTAGATCTACCAAAAAGTTGGTAGAGTTGGTAAGTGTTGGATAAATACCGAGTTTTGCTGATCAAACTTTGGAATAATTTTATATGGAATTAAAAGACATTGTGAAACACCTCTAAGGGCTTGAATAAAGCATTTGTTACAAATTATTTTCACCCTTTTTTACCCACATTTTTAACAATCCCTACCCATGTTACATGATCCCTGTTGCTTTTATAAGTTACAACATTCTCTGCCAAAAAGTAATAGAGCAGAGAAAATTTCCGCAATTGAAATTAAATGGAAGTCACCTAATATTATTTATTTAACTGTATCTTAAATATACTTGGTTAATACTTTAGGTAATGTTTTAAATGCGTATTTTCATTTTGGTAGGAAAAAGGGTTGATATTGCATTATAATTCTACACAATAAAATATGAAAAATCCAAATAATAAAAAAACAACTTGATAGGTTATAAAAGATTTTCAAACATTACTGTTTAAAAATTGTATACTGGGTTGCGTTAAACACAAAACATATTTTGTGGGAAGTTCGAGGAATTTTGAGAGGATTAGCACCATACTGAAGAACATTTGTAATACCTATTTATTAATTTATTAATAATTCGTGATTTAAACATCGCAAATCCCTGAACAGATGGCGTCATTTTATAAAATCTAGAGTTTCGCCATCTGGGTTGCCTATGCACCGATATATATATATATACTCAAAATAGGTATATCGATGCAAAATAAAATTTAATGAATTAATATTATAGATTTTTTATTGATTTTTCTTGATATTTATCTGGAGCGATTTTTTTTGAGGTATTTGGAATATTGGCATTGGCAACACTTTGTTTAGTGTACAAAGTTGTTTTTTGTTATAACATATTATGTTGTTTTTATAGGGAAGATTAACCTAGAGCTGCGATCTGTGAGAATAACATTTATTTTTGTATTTTGATTTATTGAAGGTTTAATTTAGTTATAACTATTCAGGTAAGTCTTTTAATTGGTTTCTATACATATATAGCTATAGCTTGCAAGCTACATGTAGGTACTCACATTTTAATTTTTCTAAATATACGCTTGTCCTGTATATCGTCACCCGGTGACTGTCACCGTTCTGGCAAAAGTCATTTTCGTCAAAAAGTAGTTAACTACCTTCGCGATCATACAACAATTACCTATATCTGTGGTCTAGAAAAACTTATTAAGTGCAGTATTGTATTTTTAGCATGCAATAGTCGTGGTCGCTTTTAACTATAGTTAAAACTTTTAACTTAAAAGCGACCACGACTGTTGCATGCTAAAAAACTTATTATATAATTATATTGTCACTAGGACCTTAAAAAACTCTTATGAACTTTTGCCTAGTGACTAGCCAAAGTTTATAAGAGTTTTTTTCTCTTAAAACTAACATTTAGGACTGAATTTTGCCAGAACGGGGACTATGGCACGCCGTTTTAACATTTATTAAATAATTTTTTTATTTAAAATTTTATTGGTTTAAAATTTTCCTAACTAAAAATTTTAGGTTTACATTTATAAATTTAAAATCTTTTCAACTATAATGTATTTAAAGACAAAATTTACTAACTAACACTTCACTTTTGTATTAAACAATATTTTCTATCAATTTTTGCAAAAATTTCTAACTATCATTTTTAAATAAAAATAATT